GGTAAAACCATAGTATATCCGTACACAAAATATCAGTTGTTTTTCTTTAACCACTCACCAGATATAATGTTGGTTCCAGACATTTTCAACACCCTGTATAACAATCTAATGGTGTCTATCTGTATGTGTGTTACTAATAGGTACAAAAACTACTGAACCAACTGGGCTTAAATTTTACAAAAATATAGCTACCATATCAAGGACCATTATAGGACTATTCACATTTCGTTTGGCTTTAAGAGTACTGAGGTGAACATTTTAAAAGTAAATATTGATTGGTCTCCATGACTGCGATTAGAACACTAACAATGTTTGTTTACATTTCCTTTGACATTCAAATGTAAACAAGAAGTGCATATTTCACAATTTCAGACAGCTGATACAGAGAAATTAAATATAATATTTTCCATAACTACGAGGTAGGTTTATTTTAATCTAACCTTTTATCATGGATTATTTATTCTAAAACTATGTCAATGATTGTAGAAAAGAAATTCTATAATTGTTGCTGTTCAACTCCGGCTCTTCTTTGGATTTTTTAAAGCGTCAAGTTATGAAAATAATGTTATTGATATGTTTTCATGGAAACAGTATGAAAACTACAATGTATAGACGTTTTGTATGAATTTGGAGGCTACTTTAAATAAATTCTAACTGCTTAACATGTGTTAGATTAACTTAACATAACTTGCACATCACATTGTTTTTTATATGTATATTTAGGTAAATTAAGTTATTGTGTTTTGCTAAACCTATGCTTTAATAAAACTAAAGAATATCATCAATAACTAAATTGTACGTTGTTGATTTTTTTTTTCTAAAATCTGTTGTATAGTGCAGTAAAAATAAGAGAAAAATTCCATACACCTAAAAAAAATTAGCACAACCGGGGAATTTGGTACAGATGTTGGGTGTACCTTCCTTTTGAACATACTAAAAGTCCCCTAAAATTGAAGCTGTGCTACGGCCGCCATATTGGAAAATGGCGGCATATTTCTGTATTTTTCGCTATAGTGACTTTATTATTGGAGATACAGGAAAAAGCTTAATATACAAAATGTAGGTCATCTAAAAATACACATTTTTTGTATTTACCATCTTTCTCTAAACCCAACGGTTTTGAGTTATTTGTTATTAAGTATATTTAGTTTTTTTCTATTTATCAAAAATAGGTGAAACACATGGAAATTGACTGTTACTTTCAAGGATTATGATAATTTATCCCATTTAGTTAAATAGTGTGATACTATAAAATCTTAAAATTAAAGCTTATTTTATGAGTAAAACAACTCTGCCACAGCAAACCTGCAGACTCAGCAAATTTCCATTTGATTGGATGTTTTATTAATTGTGTTTAAAAAAAAAATTAGATTCAACAGGTACCTAGGTTTGCTGCTACAGGTAGGTTATTATAGTGTGTTTATTTTTTAGTAAAATATCAATAACTTAGTATAAAATAATTAATTTTCCAAGTTTGATCATAATAAATCTATAAACAAACAAACTGCAACAGTTAACTAATTTATAATAATAGCATGGTAGCTTAAGATTTACAATTTACAAATTTAAATATACAAATTTTGGTTGTGTTTACTGAAAATATGGCGATTATTTGTCACGATTCGAATACTAACCGAAGGGGTTTTCAAAAGGAGATGAAGCAAGTAATTTAAGTACTGTAATATTAACTCGTACCAAGTATCGGAAATATTGTATGCAGTGAGGAAATCAACCATATTTTGTAAACTACGCAATAGTCATATTAATATTTTATACTCATTTTTACCCATTTAATAAATTAACATTTTAATATTTTGATGGCACTACCACTATCACTCTGATATCAAATAAGGGGGATGAATAATTGTCGTAAACCTTGAAAGTAACCGTCGATTGCGATGGGTTTCACCGATTTTTGATAAATAAAACTAGCTATACTATACCATACTTAATTAGTCACCAACATGAACTAGACACGAAAAACACCCTTCCAAATTTACAATGGGATGTCAAGTATAGTTAGTTAGTGTGGTGGTGCCATAAAAATACTAAAATGTTAACTATTAAATGGGTAAAAAATGAAGATAAAATATTAATATGACTATTGCGTACTTTACAAAATATGGTAGATTACCTTACTGCATACAATATTTTCGGTGCTTGGTACGAATTAATATTACTTAAATAACAGGCTCCATCTCCTTTTGAAACCCCATTTGGTTAATATTCTAATCGTGACGAATAATCGCCATCTTTTTAGTAAACACAACCAAAATTTGTATATTCAAATTTGTTTATTGTAAATTTAAAACTCCCATGCTATTCTAATGAATTAGTTAACTGTTGCAGTTTGCTTGTTTATAGATATATTTTGATCAAACTTGGAAAATTAGTTATTTTATAGTAAGCTATTGATATTTTACTAAAAAAACACACTATAATAACCTACCCGTAGCAGCAAACCTAGGTACCTGTTGAATCTAATATTATTTAAATACAATTAATAAAACATCCAATCAAATGGAAATTTGCTGAGTCTGCAGGTTTGCTGTGGCGGAGTTTTTTTACTCATGAAATAAGCTTGAATTTTTAGATTTTATAGTATCACACTATTTAACTATATAGGATAAATTATCATAATCCTTGAAAGTAACGGTCGATTTCCACGTGTTTCACCTATTTTTGATAAATAGAAAAAACGAAATATACTTAATAACAAATAACTCAAAAACCGTTGGGTTTAGAGAAAGATGATATATACAAAAAATGTGTATTTTTAGATGACCTACATTTTGTACATTTAGCTTTTTCATGTATCTCTAATAATAAAGTCACTAAAGTGAAAAATACAGAAATATGCCGCCATTTTCCAATATGGCGGCCGTAGCACAGCTTCAATTTTAGGGGACTTTTAGTATGTTCAAAAGGAAGGTACACCCAACATCTGTACCAAATTCCCCGGTTGTGCTAATTTTTTTTGGGTCAAAACATATTTTTACTGTACTAGTATATGTGTAACTATATTTAATTATCAATGGTTATACGAAATACTCTTATTTTATCTTAACATAGCTTTCAGTTCACATTTACTTTATTTGATACATTTATTATTTGTGTTTTGCCACACCACTGATTAAATTAAACCAAGGAAAATATCATAAAACTAAGCAGTACAAAGTGTTCTTTTGTTTCTAAAATCAATTAAATATCTGTTACTACGTTTACTTAATGGTAAGTGTGAAAATGTAAAGGCAATGGACGATGGAACTGATTAAAAGAACTGGTTTGTATATTAAGTTGTTTGTTGATATTTATGAAACATATACTGTATTTGCTATTACATTTTTTAGTTCTTGATGCTTTGTTAATCATATTAGTTTTGTCTGCTGTCTTTAATGCTAAATTATTTGTTTATAATTTCTATAACCTACTAGCTGTACCCGCGGGCTTTGCCCCGTTTTACTTCATAAGTGAGCTCGTTCGCATGGCTCAATCACGTCCTGGTTAAAGTTCGTTCGCTACGCTCACTCACCTTTAGGTTGGAGCACGTTCGCTGCGCTCACTTGCCTTCAGGTTAGCTCGTTCGCTACGCTAACTCGCCTCCAGGTCGAAGTTCGTTCGCTAAGCTCACTCACCTTTTGGTTGCAAACTATAGTTCGGCCGCTTAGAAAGCGACCTCCTCCAGCATGGGTTTAGCATTAGCGCGCAGGTCGTTTTCTAAGCGGCCGAACTATAGCTGTTGTCATAAATTTAAAAAAATAATAGTGCTGCACCCTGTTGGTAATCCTTGTAAGTTTTTAATGCTTTAGCATATCATAGAACCAACTTTTTAGTTGAAACAGCTGACAAAATTATTTAACCTTTTAATATGTATACTCATAAGGTTAACATGGGGAACTATAGAGCCACTGGGGCGGAGCCCGAAAGGATTTTTGAGATAAGAATATGCCTATTTGTTAATCGGGAATGTGAGCTATCATCATGCCAAATTTCAGCAAAATCCGTCCAGTGGTTAAAGCGTTTACTTGTCACAAACATACAGCCATACATCCAAACTTTCTCATTTATAATATTAGTAGGATAAAAATATAGTTTCTTTAATATTTCAAAAGACTGTATTGATAAGGCACAGCAATATTTATAAAGTTTATAACAGCTGACTTAGTTTTGCTATTGATTTATTGTGAGTGAAGAAACTGAAGGAAGGATTTGTGATTTAATATGAAGAAGAGTGAAATTTAAAAAATGTGCATTTAAATTTAATAATTAGTACTTTTGCAACTTCAAAATTTAAAATGTCAATAATAAATTAAAAGATATGTAACTAAGGGAGATGAAGGTAAATCATGTATATCAAAGTTTTATTCGAAGATTTGGTCAGTTTTTCTCATATCAGCCAACACAAGATTTAAAATTAATCAAAACCAAAATGGTGGTATCCACTACTTACAAGATTTAAAAGTCATAACTTAAACGTTTCTATTAAGGCTATAAAAGTTGAATATTGTTCCTAATAGCGTTGGCAGATGTGTAACTATTATTTTATGCAACAGTTGTAAAGATTAAAATGTTTCTATTTGGTTTACTCTTCCCGTTGCAAAGCACGGGTACAACAGCTAGTTATTGATATGAAACTTGTTTCCTGAATATTGGATTTACAAACTGCAATTTATTCGATTAATTTTGCAATTTTACTAACATTACGTAATACTACAATGGTCTTTGTAATTGACTCATATAAAGATTTTGTACAATGGTGTTTTCGTAAATGACCATACTAGGTGTAACATTGTTCTGCGTTCTTTTCACTAAGATATCGTATATTTAAGCCTAGACAATTTCTAAATTGTTTGGTATATTTCTCCTTATGAATAAAATTAATTAAAATGAGGTCTTCAGTCTAAATCTATCCATAATCGATGGAACTAATCGACATTGACACTATCGCTACAGCAGCAGTGCGATTACTGTTGACGATTAATGAGTTTGTGTTGGTGCAGATCTCTCCGTTGATTGTGGAGCCGTACAACGCTGTACTGACCACTCATGGCACCTTGGAGTACGCAGACTGTACCTTCGTAGTAGACAACGAGGCAATCTACGACATCTGTGCGAGGAACCTAGATGTGGCTAGGCCTACCTACACAAATCTCAACAGGCTTATAGCTCAGGTAGGCCTACAGAGAAAGTTGGTGATCATTCAATAATACTGTCCATGTATATTCATAGTAACTAATATTCCTCACCATAAAGTCGATTTATGGGTAGGCCTTACCCTCTTCATTATCAAAGCTCAAATAGTGAAAAATTGTTGTGAAAAGAATTAAAAATGTACAGGATCACTCTTCTGTGGCTGTAGAAATAGTTTTAAATGTTTTCAAATTACGGTTATGTCACCTCCTTTTATCTTTCCAAATTTAGTAGGCTACCTACATATAAAACAAAAGAACTCTCATTCACATACAGAACTTACTACACCAGATTAAATTTAAGACTTAAATTTAAACATAAATTAACCTCCAGTTATACCAAGTTGATGTTGGCCTGTACTACGCGCGGGGAACAGAACTTCTTTTTTTTATGTATCTGCAATCCTAAAATGCTATGGGAAGGGAGGGAAACAGGTCCACGACGTAGGAAGTGGTGAAAGAAGTAGTATAGGTTAGCAGTGCAGAGTGAGGGAACATTTGTATTTTGTATTATATCTATAAACATTTTTTTCATTTATTACTTTAAAACCCGTGAAACATGATTGCTCCGCTCAACTGGCTTTTACTGCTCTGAAAGCAATCCTAGTATATGGTGGAACTCACGCCGACGGCGCGTATATCGTTGAAAACTACAAAACGTCCATGGCTTTTCCTTGAGACTTTTAGTTCAATATTAGGGTATAATTATATTTTGTGTTAGAAGACTCTATAATTTTGAAAAGTCGTATTTATCCTATTTACGGCTCAGTAATAATACTCTTGAGTGTATTGTGTGGTATGCATCCGAATGTCCTTTCTTTTTACTGTATTTTGCAATTTGCTAGTATGTGTTTGTGTTTTCATAATCACATTTTAAGTTTCTTTTGTTTACATTTACTTAAAAAATTAATGGCTACTTGGAAATTCATAAAAGCAATATTAAACATATTTAAATTTCATTTTATATTTTTAATTAATTTTATATGTCTACAAAAAAGTTCAACAACGAATCCATGATACTCGTAGATAGATAACAGCTGATCATCAAATTGTTTCGATGCTATCAAATTAGTTATGTTTTGACGCGTAGTCTCTGGGATCGCGGAACGTCGGGTTAGTGGAACCATAGACCAGACTAACCAATACAAGTAGACTTCCCATCCCATTGTAAATTTGAAGCTCGTTTTTCGTGTCTAGTTCTGTCCGGTGAGACTGGGGGCTAGTGTCGACGAAATTTTGTTTTCATTATTTTAGAGTTAATTTCATGATTTGTGCTTTACTGTTTGGTTATATAACTAGAGGATGGGTCATTGTTTATGATTATATCGTTTTATTTGTTTAAAGGGGCTTAAGCATGTTTAATCTGTGTTGGAACCAACGCCAACGGCGCGCGTATCGTCGAAAACTACAAAACGTCCATGGCTTTTCCTCGAGACTTTCAGTTCAATATTAGGGTATAATAATGTTTTGTGTTAGAAGACTCTCCAACTTTGAAAAGTCGTATTTATCCTATTTACTAGCTGTACCCGCGGGCTTTGCCCCGTTTAACTTCATAAGTATTCGCATGGCTCATTCACGTCCTGGTTGAAGTTCGTTCGTTATGCTCACTCACCTTTAGGTTGGAGCTCGTTCGCTGCGCTCACTTGCCTTCAGGTTAGCTCGTTCGCTACGCTAACTCGCCTCCAGGTTGAAGTTCGTTCGCTACACTCACTCACCTTTTGGTTGGAAATTAGCTGTTGTCATAAATTAAAATACCCCCGCCGCAGCAAACCTGCAGACTAAGCGAATTTCCATTTGCCTGATTGGATTTACACTAAAATGTCTCCTTAAAAATATCACATTTATCCCTATTTAAATAGAATCAGTTTAACACACTTAGGTTTGCTGCAACAGGGAGGGTAAAAGTGTTTTTTTATGTAAAATGTTAATTGTTAGTAAGAAATAAAAACATGTTCCAAATTTGGGCAAAATATGTTAATAAACAAGCAAACTACAACAGTTTACTTATTCTCCATAAGAATAACATGGGAATTTTAAATTTGCAATTTTTTGGAATTTTCTCCGTAACCATTAGGCGCATTATAACGCTTCAATATACTAAATTATTTGTTTTGTTAAGCTCTACAAAATAGTTTAGAAATAAATTGCAAAATTTGATGTTTTTTGGGTCAAAAATGGGAAAAACCCATTTTTACCCCATAAAACCCCCCATAAACCCCCGTTCCCATGGTCTGATCATGCTGGTTCGCAAACTCGTTCGAATAAACGTAGGTTTACACGTTTGTACCAAATTTAATCAAAATCGGATCATTTTTGCTCGAGTTATCGCGCTAACGGACACATATATATATAAATATATATATATAAATATATATATATATATATATATAAATATATATATATATATATATATATATATATGAATTTGAACGGATGGTGTTTTTGGCCTCTAGGGACCTCAAAACGAAAAAAAAAATCGGTCCCGGGTCCAGGTCTTACCATGAGTACTACGGTAATAGCTTATTCCCTATATGGGAAATTCGCTAAAACGAATAATAGTGCTGCACCCTGTTGGTAATCCTTGTAACTTTGATGCTATTGAACATCATAGAACAGAACCAACTTGTTTAATTGAAACAGCTGTTAAGATTCATTAATTCCTTTTAAATATGAAAAATCATAAGGTTGACATAGGGAAATACAGAGCCACTGGGGTGGAGCCCGAAAGGATTTTTGAGATAAGAATATGCTTTAATGTTAATCGGGAATGTGAGCTATCATCATGCCAAATTTCAGCCCAATCCTAAACTACTGGACGTTTATGCGTGATTGAGCAACACACAAACACACACACAAACTTTCAGGTTTATAATATTAGTAAGATTGCTCAGTAATAATACTCTTGAGTGTATTCTGTGGTATTCATCCGAATGTCCTTTCTTTTTACTGTATTTTGCAATTTGCTAGTATACGTATGGTTTGTTATAATCATATGTTATGGTTCTTTCGTTTACATTTACGTAAAAAAAATAATGGCTACCTACTCGGAAATTCATAAAAGCAATATTAAAAACATATTTAAATTTCATTTAACATTTTTAACAAAGAACGAATTTTCCAGCACAATACAAAAATAGATCAAACATATTATACAAACTACCATGAATATTGTTTTATTTGTTTTTAGCCTAAAATTAAAATGAGCTGTTTTCAAAATTATTGTGTGCACAAACGTTACTCTTAAGTCCTATAAGTGTTTCCTTTTCCTTTTTATTTTTTCCTTACGAATTGATATTGGTTATTTCCTGTAATGTAAAGAACATTTCATCTATGGTGACGACAGAGCATATCAATAATTGTAACTAAGACTTAATATTTAACTCGTATTATTGACCACTATAAGAATTGCATGTCGATCAATTTTTATGTACCCGTGATATTATATAGATTTGAAATTCAACGATAATAATGAATAAGCATCCTAATCTACAGTATGTTGAAAGTAGATTTTTACATTGATTTTATATTAACTAATTTGTTTAAAGATTTAATAATGCCAAGAATTGGTTCGACAGGCTGTATCTTCAGTGACAGCCTCCCTCAGGTTTGAAGGGTCTCTGAATGTTGACTTGGTAGAGTTCCAGACCAACCTTGTACCCTACCCTCGCATCCACTTCCCCCTCATCGCCTATGCCCCAATAGTGCCAGCCAGCAAAGCAATGCATGACAACCTTACAACAGCTCAAATCACTAGGTAAACTCCTAGAGAAATTAAGTATTCAACTTAAATTTAGCACCCCTTCAAAACAGGTACTCAAATGTTAATAGTCAGATTTCTGTCCCTTGCAACCTGTGCGGTCAGGCATTGTCAGAACGGCCTGTTTTTTTAATGTTTTAAATGGTTTTTGTATTTTTTGTAATTTCTGCTTATTGTATTGTGTTTATCCTTGACGATGTTAACTTGATCAACTTAATAACCTGTAGCTGACGATGGTGTTCTAAAACCAAAACATGCTGTACTAAATTGACATAGTTTGTTGAGCTGTGACGGGAATTAAGTAAATATTCTAGTCTTACATTATGTCCAATAGATCAGGGGTTATAAACATGGATTTTAATCTGAATGCTGTAAAACCAACATAAATGCAATTATTAAATGGCTAGGATCGTAGTTTTATAATGTGAACTGTTATGCAGCATGTGTTTCGAGCCGGCCAACCAGCTGGTCAAGTGTGACCCCCGTCAAGGCAAGTACATGAGCTGCTGCTTGTTGTACAGAGGTGATGTCAACCCCACAGAGGTTAACTCTACTATTGCCAACATCAAAAGCAAACGCTCTGTCATGTTTGTCGACTGGAGTCCAACAGGGTTCAAGGTTTGCTGTCAATAGTTTACTTAACTAGCTGGATAGCTGAGTGGTTATAGTGCTGGCCTAGCAATCAAAAGGTCGCCGGATCGTTCCTGAGAAAAGTCAGTAGCGTTTTGACAGTTCGAAACTGGACCCAGATGGCCCGATAATTGTGCTTTAAATAAATGGTCCTGGCTACTGAAACAGTTGATCTCTTACAAAGCTACAAACAAAGCAACCTAATAACAAACACAGATCACCTCACTCCATTCTACATTCATCCTTCTACACACATATTTGGGTTGAAAGACACACCTAGGTGGCGTATCCATCTCAATTGATAATGATGAATTCATCCTTCTACACTCATATTTGGGTTGAAATATGCACCTAGGGGGGTGTACCCATCTCAATTGATAATATATTCAATTGGGTGTGATATAAATTTGCAAACTTTGTCATTAATTAATACAAAATTAAGATTCTTCATAAACCAACAAATAAGTCAGGATGTCGAGTCCCATACTTTTCAATTTGTATTTTAACTTACAAGATACAGTTCCTAATTGTTTATTGGTATTATGCTACTACTTTATTTAAATTTATATTTGACTAAAATGTAGATCAGTGACAATTTAAGTACTCTATGGTTAGACCTTTCCCTTATAAGAAATGTTAAAAATGCCAGAGGCATAGATATGCACAAAATAAACGTGTTATCTCTTTGTTTTAAAACATTTTCCATGATTTACTCGTTCACTATAGTGATAGTGAACAATATGTGTATTACAATACCGATTGTAAACGACCAACTCCAATACAAATATAAAAATTATTATTTGTTAGTTGCATTACCGTACTGTAATGCGTTAGAGATGATCTGAAATTTGTCTTTCCAACATTCCACCACACATCACTCCATGTGAGTACCGGTACAATCTGTTGCACATTATTATTATGCATGCTTTCCAACCAGGAATCAATTATTTTTCACCCATACTTCACAGAACTTAGATTTGGTTATGCAGCAACATTGGCGAAACTGGACAAACCCTAATGTTGATAACTGTGTACAGGTAGGCATCAACTGGCAGCCACCAACCACAGTGCCTGGAGGAGACCTGGCCAGAGTGATGAGAGCAGTCTGCATGTTGTCCAACTCCTCAGCAATCAAGTCTGCCTGGGAACGGCTCAACCGCAAGTTTGACCTAATGTACCATAAAAGAGCTTTTGTCCACCATTATGTGGGCGAGGGGATGGAGGAAGGAGAATTCAGTGAGGCAAGGAACGACATTGCTGCTTTAGAACAGGACTATAAGGAAGTAGAGACTCCTTCATATTGATTATCTGACAACAAATATGAGCCATTAAAACCAAGAGATGATATGAAATATTCTTTTAAAATATGTTTTAAGAATTTTATTATTGGTGGTAACGTTAAAGAAATACTTTAGCTTCTTTTTAAAATGTATTTTTACTGTAGGCCTACTAAATTGTACAAGTACTTTGAAGGCTTTCTCAGTAAGTCACCATAGTTTGTTAAGGAACGTATTTCTATGATGACTCTAATGATTTTTGTTTCGGCACAGAGAAGTCAAGTATAGAGGAAACTTGTTTATGGAACAACCGTGCGTTTTTAACTCTGGTATGTTGTGCATACAGGATATGTTGTCTCTATAAGCTATTATGGTCTCATGAGATCAGCGTAAAAATTTATTGAGTCAATTGTATATTATTTTTCCATTGCTTTTGTTTTCGAACATCTTATATATTAAAAATATTTGGTTTTTCTTTTCCGAGTTTGTTTGACTCTACTACCCGAACGATTTTCATGATTGAGGTCTCGAATTGAAGGTATGCACGCACAGATTTGCCATCAAGCATCGGCATATAATTATCTATAGTCTCACTCGACATATACCTAAACAAAATTTGCTTCCCATGTATTTCTTATGGGAGTTAAATTTGGCTTTTCTTTGCCGAGTTCGATTGGCTCTTCTACCCGGCCGATTTTCATGATTGAGGTCTGAAATTGAAGGTATGCACGCACAGATTTTCCATCAAGCATCGGTATATATTTATCTATAAACCCACTCGGCTTATATGTCAAAAAGATTTGCTCCCTATGTATTTCTTATGGGACTTAAATTTGGTTTCTCTTTGCTGAGTTCGTTTGCCTCTTCTACCCAACCGATTTTAATGATTAAGGTCTCGAATTGAAGGTATGCACGCACAGATTTGCCATTAAGCATCGGCATATAATTATCTATAGTCTCACTCGACATATACCTAAACAAAATTTGCTTCCCATGTATTTCTTATGGGAGTTAAATTTGGCTTTTCTTTGCCGAGTTCGATTGGCTCTTCTACCCGGCCGATTTTCATGATTGAGGTCTGAAATTGAAGGTATGCACGCACAGATTTTCCATCAAGCATCGGTATATATTTATCTATAAACCCACTCGGCTTATATGTCAAAAAGATTTGCTCCCTATGTATTTCTTATGGGACTTAAATTTGGTTTGGTACACTGATTCTTTAGGCATTAAATAGGAAAACTAAGTGGTTTTTATTCTGATCGGACTCTCGGGCTCCGCCCCAGTGGCTCTGGAGTTTCCCATGTTAACCTAATGAGTACTCATATTTAAATGGAATTAATGAATCTGAACAGCTGTTTCAATTAAACAAGTTGGTTCTGTTCTATGATGTTAAATAGCATTAAAGTTACAAGGATTAACAACAGAGTGCAGCACTATTATTTTTCTTAATATTTTACAACAGCTAATTTTAAACCAAAAGTGAGTGAGCGTAGCGTACGAACTTCAACCAGGACGTGTGAGCGCAGCGAACGAGCTCCAACCTAAAGGTGAGTGAGCGTAGCGAACGAACTTCAACCAGGACGTGATTGAGCCATGCCAACGAACTCACATATGAAGTTAAACGGGGCAAAGCCCGCGGGTACAGCTAGTCCTATATATTTTGGTCTAAGGACCTTCAGTGAAATACCTGCATTCATTTAAGCTACTGTATTAGTTATCAAATCGAAGGAGTTTCAAGCAAACGCAAGGAGAACAACCAACATAAACATTATTTTTCATAAGGTTTTCCTATAACTAAAAATCAAGATTCAAAGATTCAAAGGTTCAAAGATTTATTTCAACAAGAAACAAGATTGCACACTTGTACAGTTGACGTCAAGATACTAAGACTAATAAATTAACAAGAGTGAATATATATATATATCTAAAGATCAACAATGCCATCTATATAACTATAAACAAGGTAACAAGGTGTAAACATAACAGAGCAAGACTAGTCAATGTCAATAATTAATTATTAAAACTTAAATTAATTCTGGAACATTTAAAATATTCTTCCAAACTATAAAACGGGTTGTCAAGCAGCCAGGCCATTAGTCTAGATTCAAAGGACTTCATGCTAGCTAACATGGTGTGACTCAAGAGGTAGCCTGTTAAACAATTTAATACCAAGATAAGAAAAGGATTCTTGTGTTTTTGCAAGCCTTGCCTGAGGTAAATCTAAGTAATGTCTCCTCCTAGTTAAATGGACATGAGTTTCACCTCTTAAAGCTATGGAACCTAGATTTGCTTTTACATGTAACAAACACTTAAAAATAAACAAGCTATAAACAGTTAAAATTTGTTCACGGACAAAAAGTGGTTTACAATGTGCATGGTAACTAGAACTTGTAATTATACTAATAGCTTCCTTTTGCTTTGACAAGACTCTTTTCATGCCATGGCCACAGCCCCAAAGTAGTATACCATAGCTTATAATGCTTATAATGGTCAATAGCTCCAGTATTGTTCATGTATGTTTTAGACTCAAAATCATCAGTAATTATAGGCTTTAAATTGAGCTATTGGTCGTTTGAATCAGTATAAAGATAATGTAATACTCATCAAAAATCATAAATATGATTAGTTCTTGGATAATATATTTTTAGTTTAACGCTGCGGAGCAGCATGGGTCCTCTAGTTTTGAAATAAAAACATTTAGTTAAAATTATTATAAACACTCATCCAATTAGAATAGTAAAACAATATCCCTAAAACCTACTAGTATTTCATATATTCAGGTCAGCTCTGTAGGGGTTAATTACAGCCTTATGGTTGGAGGAGAGCACCAGCAGAGTTAGCGTGACTGACACATACCGGTACTAATAGAGTAGTAGGGTTGGTTTACATTGGTCTCCAGTAACAGTAGACACTTGAGGCAGTCCTCAGTCTGATAATTGTCCTGTGTATCCCCTAGTGGAAGACATCAATAGAAATCAATAGAAAAAATCTATTGATATCACTAGATGCTTAGTGATATCAATAGATGTTCATGGATATCATTACAAGTAAATACAAATAGACATCACTGAAAACTTAGTCAATACATATCACTAGACATCTATAAACATAAAATATATCAATATAGATCTTTTGAGCAAACAAATCGTTCATTGATATCAATAGAGAATATTTTTTAAATATGTTAGATGTAAATATAAATCAATAGACATCAATACGGATAAATAAAATGCAAAATATCTCTAAAATGTTTCACATATGAACATTATGGATTATACAAAATACCAATGTAAGCTTTGTGAAATAAACAGTAATAAAAATGTTATTTTTTGAAAAAAGGAAAAACTCTAGTTCTAGGTCATAGGCGTTAGCTGAGGTACCTAAAACTCAATATAGGTAATTTAAAAATATATAATTTTAAAATTGTTGTAAAACAGTTACAACTTGTATTAAAACTTATTTTTTAAACTGCCAAAAACTGATTGCTAAACATTAAAATTGTTGTAAAACAGTTACAACTTGTAATAAATATTATTTTTTAAACTGCTAAAAACTGATTGCTAAACATTAAAATTGTTGTAAAACAGTTTACAACTTGTATTAAAACTGATTTTCTTAAACTTCAAAAAAGTGGTTGTTAAACAATTTTAAAATTGTTGTAAAACAGTAACAGCTCGTATTGAAACTAATTTTTTTTCAACTCCAAAAAACTTATTGTTAAACAATTTTAAAATTGTTTCAATCTTATATCAAAATTGTTGTAATATGAAGTTTAAATCAAAATGTTTTAAAATTTTTATACAACAATTATTGTAATACAGCTTTCGACAACTTTAAACAATTTTTTGCTTATTGGGTTATCGTTAGGGATAAAAATGCCTCACAAATTCATTATTGAATTCCTTATTTCTAGAAATCAATAAAAATAAATTGTATTGACACTATTCATATCACCCAAGTAGCAAGAAAACAGTTTAAACTGGTAATAAAACAGTTTTGAAACATGTTAAAGCATATTATATGTACCTCCTGTACATGCTTGAAATGACACAAATGCCATTGAAAATCTTTTTCAAGTTAAATTATGAGCCCTAACACAGCTTCTCGCATTCAAAATGACTATCATTACTCAGTCTAACATGAACATTATACATCGATGAACATGAAGCGTCCGTAGTGTAATGGCTAAGTCAACTGGCTTCCATGCTGGAGTCCCCGGTTCAACTCTCGGGAACCCACTAAACTTTTTGCCAAGAATTTGTTTACTTTTTAATTTTTATTTTATTTTTAGTGCATAGTTGATATTATTTAATGTTTTGAAACAAATTACAAATGGTTTTTTAACAAGCTACAAATTATTTTCAAATAAGCTAATGACTCGGATCCTATTTACTTGTATTGATATGTATTGATGTGTATTGGCCCAAATACACATACGTATCAATACGTATCAATATACAATTTTTGTATTGATATATATTGATCTCTTCCACTAGGGTCGCACGCAATCCATCCATAGCTTGATTAAACTTGCCACAGTCAACTCTCTTGACACAGTTAGCGTGATTAACACATACCGGTACTAATAGAGTAGTAGGGTTGGTTTACATTGGTCTCCAGTAACAGTAGACACTTGAGGCAGTCCTCAGTCTGATAATTGTCCTGTGTGTCACACGCAATCCATCCATAGCTTAATTAAATCTGCCACAGTCAACTCTCTTGATACAGTTAGCGTGATTGACACATACCAGTACTATAGAGTAGTAGGGTTGGTTTACATTGGTCTCCAGTAACAGTGGACACTTGAGGCAGTGCTGACTGGTCGTCTGCAGATTCAAAACAATATGATTGTGATTATTTTATGGAGCCAATTATTCAAGTTTTGTAGAGTATTTTAAAAGTGTGTGACTGAATTATGGTTTTAAATTATTGGTCAAGTATCTTCACACAACTGAAGCTATAAACCTTTAAAGAATATTTTTAAATTTTACAACTAAAAGAACTTATAAAATACTCACATTTTTTCAAGCCAAAAGCACATGTTTTTATCACTATCCTAATGAGTACCAATCACCCTGTATATATAC